CCTGTATTCTACATCATGGTGAGTGGCTGTGTGAGTCTGAAGGGGGACTTATGGGCTACTATCAGACTTATGGACTAGTATTGGACTTAGGGACTTGCTCTGGGCGGGTCTGGGATGTTGGCTTGATATATAATTGCTTCCTGATATAAATCTCTCTCTAACACATATGTGAGTGTCACTGGATTGAGTTCTCTAGTCACCCAGCCTAACCCATAACTCATACTGTTCGATATTATGGTCATGGACTGAATTGTGTCCCCTCCAAAATATGTGTCCACTTGGTTGGGCCATGAATCTCAGTGTCTCATTTATCGTCCACTTTGTGATCCAGTATACTTATCCTATGTCTTATAAAGGAGCCCTGGTGGTGTCTCGGTTTCAAGTTGGGGTGCAATCCAAAAAGTCACAGGTTTGAAACCATCAGCTGCTCTCCTCGGGAGAGAGAGTAGGCTTTCTACTGCCATACACAGTGAGTCTTAAAAACCCACAGAGGTAGTTCTCCCCTGTCCTACGAGTCACCACGAGTCAGAACGGACTCAATGGTAGTTGAGTTTTATGTATTATCAATCCTCGTCTCTGTGGTATGGATGAGACAGAAGGCAGCCTACCGAACTGTATCTTGAATCGATTTCTTTTGAGATTATAAATGAGAAGGAAGGAAATCAGCGGGTGGAAATCAGGATCCCCAGGATGGCAGGGCCGTGGTGACCCAAGGACAGTGAGACCTGATAGGATGCGCACTGACCACGCCCTCGCCCTTGCACACAGGGCCAGACCCTGCTGGACATGCGCCACCTAGTCCTCAGGACAGCCCTTGGTGCCCAGCACTGCCGCCCGTGTCATTTCACGGTTGGGCAAAGGAGGCTCGGAAGGGGAAGGTTATAGCCCAGGTCACACAGCAAGCAGGACTGACCTGGTGCCTTGTAGAAGCCATGCTCCAGGCAGGCCAGAGCTCAGCATCTGGCATATGGGGCGGGCGGCTCTAATATTCCTGTTCCAGGGCCTGGGACAACACTACATACAGGGACTTGCAGGGATGGTGGGGACATGGGCCTCTTTTATGCCTACCCCTGGCAACCCCCAGCAAAGCCTTACTTAGCCCTGGAAGTCTAGGATGTCCCATTCAAGACCTCCACGGGGGCCTGGAATGAGCCTCTGTCTGCAGCTGGGGGTCAGGAGGAAGGTTCTCCTGGGGACTACTTGTGACGGGGCCACAGCTCGGCATGCACACCCTCTCCCTGGGCCACTCCAGGACCTTAGGTCTGTCTCACAGGACATCCAGGTTCTGGCATCCAGGGTCTGGGACCGTCTGCCCCTGGGTCCCTGGACTGTGACTCTTTAGAAGTTTGAAACTCCCAGGTCAAGACTGTCGGAGAGGTCGGGAGTTATCCAGGAGTGAAGAGTCTGGAGATGCTGGGGCCCTGGGACCCCTGGAGGGTACCCAGGAAGGGTACCCCAGGGGCCACAGGCCTGCTCCTCTTTGCCTCCTGGCACCCAGGGGGAGCTCCACAAAGCACAGATCAGATTATGTGGCCCTTGCTTTACACCTTCGTTTACTCCCCAGCCCCTTTGTAGGAGGGGCTGATCCAACTCTCCTAGCCCTTCCCTGCGGGTGGGCCTGACTCTCTCTCTTCAATGTCCCAGGAGGCCAGAGGTGGGCGGTGCGTGGCTCTGCCACCCCAGCAGGAAAACCCACCCTCCCAAAGCCCCCTAAGCAATCAGACGTCAGACCCTTCTTCCCAGCACAGAGAGCTAGCACGTGGCTTCCATTAGTCCACATCTGGACTCGCTCAGAGCGGGACAGCCCAGCAGAGAGAGCCTGGAGCCCTGGCACGGCTCCGGCTCAAAGGCAGGACCCCCACCCGTGCTGGGCCCGGGGTATTGGCTTCCTCCCCAGCAACAGGGAGGGATCCCTTCCACCTCGTGCCTGTCTCTCCACCAGCTCCTCTGTCGAGACAGCGACCTCCCAGCTTCTCCCCACAGGGCAAGCCCTCCACCACGCCGGACCGGGCCCTGCCCCCCCCCACACACTTCCCCAGGATGTTCAAACAGGCAGCCGCATTCTGCCTCACGTACGCACCCTGACTTGCAACCACAGATAAATCTGTGTTCATTTAAG